CAAATATCTGGAATATATAGGACCGTGATGGCAAACCTATGGCACACGTGCCACAGGTGGCACGCGAAGCCATTTGTTAGGGCATGCGAGGCATTGTCCTGTCAGCTCCAGCACATGCATGCTCTGGCCAGCTGACTTCCGCTTTCATATTTGGCCATTTTTTGCCCACCCTGAAGCCTCCGAAGGGCGAAAAACGGCCCTCTGGGGAAACCAGAAGTCCGTTCCCAAACTTTCAGTTTGCCCATAGGGTCATTTTTCGCCCTCCAGAAGCCTCAGGGAAGCCTCCGGAGTCTGGAGGTGGAGAAAAACAGGTCCATTGCACGCCAAAAGCAGGGGGGATGGCGGGGATCGTGTGTGCATGCGTGAGGGCGTTGTGTGCATAGAATTATAGTTGCGGCTATGCCCATGCATGACCCCTGTGCTCCCCCCACTTTCGGCATGCAATGGGAAAAGGGTTAGCCATCACTGATATAGGATGTAACTTTCTTATATTGTTAACGAAGAGAATTTTGTTGAGGAAAAAAGTCATAGGGGAAGAATGATAATTCTGCTTGAAGCTAAAGGACACACTGATGAATGCTGTTTTCTGTATTCCACTTGACAAAAACACTAGTTGACAAGGAAAGAAATTATGTTTATCCTCTGGAGAATTGCAAATTACAATTTAGCTGTATTGCTTAGAAACCTCACCTGCCAAATTTGTATTATTGTATTGCTAGAAGAATACAGTTTTATTGGTTTGCTAGGAAGGAAGGGCTTGTTAATGCAGATAATTTTGGATAAACAAAATATAGTGAATAGTGGTTTTGATAAGTCAAATTAGCCATTAAAACATCTAATGTGAGAACTTATTGTCATATGCAGATAATGCAAAATATATTTTCACACTTCTATCTGTGTGTTGCTGTTTCATATGCTTTCCTGTAAGAATCAGGGTCTCCTGCTTCTTGTCAATGTTTTTGATTTTTTTATTCAAAACAATATAATTATTTAGAATAAAACAATTATTTGCAACCCCCAATTTAATTGAAAAATTAGATACATTATAGTGATTAAAATAGAAAAAAGAGAATTGATCAATATAGTAACTATTAGTAGCAAAATAAAAATTAATTCAATCCTTTATCATTAGATCTGGATTATTTGGAAATATATTGTTTCATCTCATTTTTACAATAAATCTGTTCAAGTGGCACCAATAGGGCAATATTCTTTCTATTTGAATAAAATTAGCCTTTTTGCAATGCATGAGTCTCAATAGATCCAAGGCTCTTCATGAGATGACATATTGCATGTTTTAGGAATAAAGTTCAACATCATGTTAAGATTTTTAACTATATTTTTAAAATTATGTAATTTTTTTACAGTTGATATTCCATTTATCAAATATCTACATATCATTGCGATAAATTCTACCTTTCCTGTGTCCTATCAGTGTTGTAGCATTTGGTTGAATCTAAGTAGAGTATAGTTCTATACACTTCAGAATCCATCCTGCTGCTTTTATCAGCAGTCAAGTCAACAATAATCAACAAGTGTCCTGATTTCATTTGGCAGCTATGTATGGCGATGCCATAATACTGTCTCCACCATGTTTGACAGATGATGTGATATGCTTCGGATCATGAGCTGTGCCTTTCCTTTTCCACCCTTTCCTCTTCCCATCATTGTGCAGAAATTAATTTTGGTTTCAAAGAATCTTATTACAGAATCGGCCAGGGCTTTTTTCTACATTTTCTAATGTAGTCTAATCTGTCCTTTCTGTACTGGAGTGTTAGCAGTGGTTTGCACCTTATTGTGAAGCCTCTGGATTTACATTCATAAAGTTCTCTTATTGACTGGGGACTTTGACAGTGACACGCCTACCTTCTCAAGAGTGTTCTTGAGTTGGCTAGATGTTGTCAAAGGGTTTTTCTTGTTCTCCACTTTAGTTGTCTTGTGTGGTCTGCCAGGCCTTTTGGTGCCAGGTTCTTAATTCTTAATTCTTTTTCAGAATTCTAGACCAGGAGTGTCAAACTGGTGGCTCGCAGGCCAAATGTGTCACATGCACCCCAGATCCGCAAAGGGGGAAAACATCATGATACGTCATGTGGGCGGCAATGTGATGCCACAAGTTTGACACCCAGGTTCTAGACTGTTGTTTTGATAACTCCCAATGTTTTTTCTATTTCTCTTGTTTTTGTTTTTCTCAGCCTAATGATGTACTCTTTCACTTGTATACACTCTTCTTTGGACTTCATGATGAATATTCTGATGAACAGCTACCAAATGCAAATGTAACACTCAGAACCAACTCCACAGCTTTATCTTTATTGATTTCTCAGGAATTAACAAGGGAACTGGCTTTAAAACTGCTTGTCAGTCACTTGCCCCACTATTTATGAGCCACCAAAAGAGGTCTGGGTGTATTAAAATGGCTGTAATTCTTCCATAGTTACCGTCGTCCCAATATATACAAACTTGACTATGTGGACTGAGACTATTTTTATATAAAAAATATAGAACAAATTTGAAAACAAATTAATGTTTAAGGATATCTACTAAGAAACTTTCAGCTGGTTTTATCCTTCATATTTTTAAACAACATACACGCAAAGAAAGATGTGCATTTGTTTGCCATTGTTTTAATTTATAAGTTTAATAGTTAATATATTTCCTTCGTCAAATTTTGCATTAAAAAAAATATGAGAAGTGAACTTGAACTTGAGTAGTTTTTCCACTTGGAAAACTGGTAAACGTTTGACCAATGGTAAACATTTAACCAAACAGAATAAATAAGCTTTGGCATGTTAGATGGTAATAAGTTGCCAGTGTTAAAAGTAAGCTTCATATATTTTATCAGTAATAACAGATTTGAAAATCTTATTACCAGGAAAAACAATGACATTGCTATATCAGTTTGGGAGTACAGTGCTAGCTTAATTTTTCCAGAGGTAAACCAACAGCAAGTAACTTAAAGAAGTTCACATTTACACATTTGCATGTCTTAGCTGCATTATGATCTTGCCTGTTTTGTATGGTTTTACTTTTTTATGATTACAACGGGAGAGAATACATGTAACTTTTAAACTTGCTTTTATCTCTATGTAGATAATCTTGGTTAGGCTAGGTCCCTTCCAAGTCCATTCTGATTGATAGATTTCTCTTTATTTTAAGTGCAGTTGGGGTCATAAACTCTGCATGGATGTTTAGCTCCACAAACAACTAATAGTACAAGTTTTATGTCTTTAAAAATGAATAAAATATATGTGCCTGACCTTTTTTTATATTTAAATTCTGTTGGAAACTGTTGGGATTCTATTGGAGGTTATTAGTTACATCCAGTGTTATATAATGTTTCCCGCACCTTAAAAATTGGCTCTAGGCACTCCATTAATTTTTCAGAATGTGAGGTTTAGATAATCATCTCATATCACAATTTTTTCATACTTGGGTGGACTGAATTATGTCCACCCCAAGGGGAATGGACCTGGAACTGCTGATCTATGCCTTTTCACTTTTATATTAATTCCTATTGCTCTGATGTTAAATTTTCTAGGTGAAACAAAGGTAAATACCATTTTTAATTTTGTGAAGCTATAAAAAGTGAAGGGACTTCCAGCTGACCCCACAGCAAGATTGGATGCAGGGGGCAGTCTCAACGCCCCCGCATTGAGTTCTCCCTGTTGGAGGGCTCCGAAAGGAGCTAATGCCACCCTATACGGTGGTGAAGAAAAGAGGGGCACCCTGCAGGTTGCAGAGACCCGCAACTCTCCTGCTTCACCCAGACCTTATCCATGACGAGGGGAAGAGGCAGCCATCATTGCTGTGAAGCTGGGACAGCTGTGGCAATAAAGAAAGTGCAGGATTTTTTTTTGAGATTTTATTAATATTTTTTATTAATATTTGTAGGCTGCCCTTTTCCCTGAGGGGACTCAGGGCGGCTCACATAAAATCAGGGAGGGGGAATACAAACATTGACATAAAGACATATAATAAAATAGTAAGCAACATACATTCATCATTCGGGAGGGGCGTCTTTCCTTGTCCTCATGGCTGTGGGGCTAGT